CTGAACATCAGTCATGTAAAAACGTACTTTTTCTTCAATGGAAAGCTGAAGGAAGTTTGCAGTTTTTACCTCAAGATCAACAGCTTTGTTTCGTCAAACCTTTACAACGAAGGTCACGTGACCCTTAGATGTAGACGTCAGATGATGCACCATCTCGGGTTTTAGTCAGAGTTTACATATTTGGGACCACAAGTCAGGTTCTATCAAGTATTTGGGCTGGATTTTGTTTTCAGAGCTTAGAAATTCTCTACTTTTGAAAAACAAGTGAGCATTTTACCGTGAAAGCCAAATTTAGGATTTGTTGTCTCCAGAAATGTGACTGTAAAAGCCATGAAACAGACGGTGACATAACGTGTCCTCTGAAACATAACATGGATATCTGAAATTACAATTATAGATAGGAAGAACGACATTAGGGAAAAGCCCTTTTTGATTGGGAATATTTGAATTAAGTAACAGCTAGTGGTTTGTTTGATATGCAAGAGTTTGTACAATCCGCCTGGTCTCCTGCTCATCACATGCAGCCACTTTCTCCGGATCTCTTGGCATCACATATCAACACACTGGGTACACTTCAGCATTACTTTTCCAACATATAGGATAGTTTGATAGACCTATAAAAATCTGTGAACATCAGAAATAAACCCTATGAGTCTGTAGCCAACAGCGCTGCCATCACAAATGTTCAAACGGGGAATGTACTCACAGGGCACGACTTTGGAGGCTCACGGAAATAATCCAAATGATGTCTTGTCCAATAACCAGGTGGAGGTATCCAAATCACAAAAGTAAGCTCAGTAGTCAAAGACAAGCAGGTAGCACTAGAAAGCCACAAGGAGAGAATGTCTGGGAGGTGACACAAGATGAGCTATCAAGGAGCACGAGGAAAAGGCGGAGTATATATCACACACAGGTGATGAACATTAGGGCGGGGCAGGTAATCACACAGGTGGGAAAGCAGAAGAAGGCCAAGAAAGGTGAAGGCACCTGTAATGAAACAAACACACAACAGGAAACGTCAAACTAAAACAGGAAGCAAGCAAAACAAGACCAGAAGTTGAACCCGACAATTGCATCTTTTAAGGCAATGAGAAATCTGTTTCTTTAGGTTTGCATAAAATGTAGTGAACATTGTGAAAGGGGATATTATAAACCCCACCCGGCCTTTTTCCTGAACCTAACCATGTTGTTTTGGTGCCTAATTTTAACTATGCAAGTGAAAATAAACCTTAAGCCATCCAGCGGAAAATGGCAATCTCTGATGCTGTGCCATCTGACTACGATGGATGTAACGTGTTTATAGCAGGTAGATGCCGCCACATTC